TGGGTGATTTGGCACAGAGTGTTCTGCATAAGCTATGCCTCCCGTGCTTTTCCCTCTTCTTGTTGCATCACATTCCTCCCGCCTCACTCTCTGCTCTCATCACACAGATTCCCCTGCCTGGAACACTCCTGCCTCCCTGCTTTGCCGAGTTGTCTCCTCACCTTTTACCTCATACCCCGTGTCAGCTCCTGAGGGACACTTGAGGAAGACCCTCTCCTCTCTGGTGAGGCCAAATCCCCATGTTTTTAACTCCCTTGGCACCATCAACCAGCTCAGGAACCCTTCATAGAATGTATCACAGGACATGTATATGATCTTATATGATTGTTTAATTTCTGCCTGGTTTCCCTACTCGCCTGTAAGATCCATGAAGGCAGGGACTCTATGTCTTTGCTTACTTTTGTATTCCAGAGCCTAGCACAGTGTCTGGCATGTATCAAGTACTAAATAAATTCATTCTGAAGGAAGGAAGGAAGAATGCATGAGTTGCAAATTGATAGTTCTAAAATGATAAAGAGGAGGGCTAGCATTTTAAATGAGTGATAATAATAGGTAACACATGTTAAACTTCTAGTGTTAGGTAAACACTGTTCAAAGCTCTTTACTTGTTCTTTCCAGTTCTCTGGGCCAGCCCTGTTAATACATGTTAGTATCTCCGTAGATAATAGACTAGATCTGAGACTTAGGTTACTTGTGCAAGGCCAGGCAGCCAGTGCCAGGTGAAGCCCTAACAGACATCAGTATTGTTACTCTAGTTATTACTATGATCACCTTGATGGAGTTCCTTAGAGTGCCCTCCCCCAAGGATCCATGTTGGGCAGGCACAGCCCCACCCCCCGGCCTCTGAGTGTCTTCTAAGGCTGTGCCTGGAGTGAGGGGCTTGGGGGCTGAGAGGCTGTGAGGCCCTGCCCTCCAGGATGGAAATAGCGGATGGAGGGAAGGATCCTTCAGGCAAGGCAGGGGCATGGTCTCTCAGGCATCCAGAAACCTTTGTCAGAACCTGTCTTTGAATTGAATCTCAACTCTTGTCTTCCAGAAGCCATGGAAACAGGATCCAGAAGCCTGAGGTGAGACATCTGGCCATCTCGCTGGTGTTGCCACCTTTAAGAAGCCAAACAGGCCTCTCAGTCTCTCAGGCCCCGTCCCCAGAGCATGCCTGACAGGGCCTCCCCATAGAAATCCGTCCCATTGCTTATACATTTCTCCAGAAGTTTCTGAGCTCTGCTAGGTGTGCCCTGCTGTGATGAGGTAAACATAGTCCAGGTCCTCTGGGAAGGTAGATAATTAAGCCAAATATTCCACACGCGAAGAGTGTTGTGCATTGGAAAGCAAGGGCAGATCCCAGCTTGGGAGGATCAAGGAAAGCGTCGAGGGAAACCTTTCAGTATGATGGGAAGGGAAGAAGAAAGAAGGGATGTGGATTCACTTTTTCGTTTTGGTGGTGTTTTTATGTTGAAGTTTTTATGATGAAAAATGCCCATCTGATGGCCTCTCATTCCCCTGTGGTGGTCCAGCACGTGTGCTCAACAAGTGAGGAGTGTGGACAACTTGTAGGAAAGTGAAATCATTTTGAGAACTTACAGAAGAGAATCGGCTAAGAAAACAGTCATAAAAGCTCCACCAAGACAGGGGGCTTGGTTTGTTTCCTTCACTGGATGTCCCAAGTGCTTGGAAGAGTGCCTGGTACATGGTGACACAGGAGGAATGACTGATGATTCTCAGGCAGTGGTGGAGCTGACCAGTAGTTGAGTAGTTGAAGTTTATGGGGCACGAACACACTTGTGTGATTTTATCCAAGAGGAATCAGCCTCTTATTCAAGGCAGGTCTGAAAAAGGCAGAGTTGGATTTTGCCAGGTGGGACAGATGAAAGGAGAATGGGGTAGGCTGTTTAGTGTAGAGCTCTTTAGGTTTGGGGTTAAGTGATGGACCATGAAGTTTTCCTTGGAGAGGGAGGAAATGAAGACAAAAAGTTGTCAGATGGACAGGGGCTTGTAGTTCTTGAGTAGGTTGAGGAACTGGCCTGCTGACGGCATAAGCAGATAAAGGGTGAAATGTCAGACTGTATTTTTTCAGAACACACAAGAGTTCCTGGTGATAAGTTCTAGGATATGGCCATAACTGAAGTGGAATGGAAGTAAAGGGCTCTAAGGTGAGAAGGAGTAGACAGTGAGAGGTCAGATTATTGGATGGTCTATCCACATGGATATTGAGGCCTCTGACTGATTCCTTCTGCTTTAAGTTCCTGTCCTGTCCTCCAGAGAACTGGCATTTCCTGCAACTCTAAGCTTCAGTCCGTGGCACGACTCTGGACAAGGCGGAAATGGGGCAGTGAGCGAGAGGGCTGTGGTACTGTGGTAGTCGTCTGTTTTGTTTTTGTTTTGACACCCAGCATTCACTCTTCTGGAAATTGTCCTTCTATTGCCCTCTGGGGAACTAACCCCATTGTCAATTTTGGTCCATGGGCAAGTACAGTTGTCCATCCCCAACGCTCTTCCTTTAAAGATGGGTGTCCAACTCAAGCTTGGCCGACAAGATCATTCCATGCTTTTGGCAATAGTGATTGGTCAGGGATGGGCCTGACCAATAAGGCACAGTAGGACTTTTGAAGGGACTAGTGGGAGAGACAACCCATTTTTAGCTGCACTTTTAGTTTGGAAGATGTAGCTACGAACTTGCCAGACAGAAAGTCTTACAGTGAAGCCAGTGCAGAATATAGAGCCAAGAAATGGATAGAAACTGTAACTTGATGACATCAACTGAGCCCCAGCATGAAACCTCCTGCCTGAGGGCGGCGTTACTCCCAGACTTCTTCAGGTGCCTGAGTCAACAGATCCTCTTTGTGTTTGCTGTCATTTACATCCAGAGAATCCCTCACAGTGTAAGGAGGCTCTCCATCCCTGGCTCCCTCTTCTGAGCTAGCACACCGAATATGTATTACCTTCTCTGACCTTCAGGTCATGCCCTTCTGTAAAGAGGGTAAAGAAACCTGCTTTAAAGGATTGTAAAGATTAAGCGGGATAATATACATAAAAGCATAAATTTGTTCCACAACATTGAAGTACAACAAGCAGTACTTAACTTTTCTAAATTAAATTAAATCTGGCTCGGGCCGGCCCTGTGGCTTAGCGGTTAAGTGCGCGCGTTCTGCTGCTGGTGGCCCGGGTTCGGATCCCGGGCGCTCACCGATGCACCGCTTCTCCGGCCATGCTGAGGCCACGTCCCACATGCAGCAACTAGAAGGATGTGCAGCTACAACATACAACTATCTACTGGGGCTTTGGCGCGGGGGGAATTAAATCTGGCTCAAAGCCCCATTTTAAAGGGTAGGAAGATATCCAATATTGGTCATTACTGGGGTCTTTTGCTTGAGTAGTTTAGTGTTCCCTGTCCAATAGTAGGAAAGAGCCTGTGATCTTGAGTCCGTCTTGGTTGCCACTGGAATTTCCATTGTCCAAGCCCTTCTGCCTTCTGGCCCTTGTAAGGCCAGAGGCTGCACGGCCTCTGTGCCAAGTGTGAACGATGGGGTGTCTGCTGCAGCTCTAAAGATGGTGGGGCTTGATGATTAGTCACCTCAGCACATCACTTCATCCCATAAAACATTGTGCTGTCTCCTAGAGGACTTCCACACAGAACCTGTCCACCTAAGGGACTCGTCTCTACATCCTGCTTCTCAGGGCATTGGAGCCACTGCTACCTTTAGGCAACTCGCCTTCTCTCACCCCAGCATATGTGTCAACCACTGTCTCCTCTCTCCTGGAAGCACCCAGCTAAGTTCTTGTCTCCCATGAGGGTCTGGACAGGACTGGACAACAGGTGCCTCCCAACTTCTGGTTGGGGTCAGGAAAGGTGAAAGCCATTGATAACCCCTGAGACTAGAAGCCCAGAACTTGCTGTAAGACAAATGGGGAAAGTTAACTTTTATTCTTTCTGGAGTCCTCTCTGGCAGAGGGTAGAAATGGCACTCAACAACTTGGTAAATTATCCCGCCTCAAATGAAGTTTGCCTCAAGCTGGACGAGAATCCCTGCAGAGGAGAATTACCCATTCTTGTCATTGTCAGCCCAACCCCCTCCCACAGTGAAGCACTGCTAAACTTGCATAATAATCCGTTGCTTCGCTGCTCCCTGCCCCCCTAGAAGGAAGAAACGGACCCTGAGTCTCATGGGAGAGAGAAGGTGGCAGCCTCCACAAGTCTCTGAGCTGCGACTTGCCTCCTTAATGAAGACCAAACGTGTCCTTGTGACCCCAGGAAAGTAACAGCTTGATTTAGGCTCTGATTCAAGGCCAGTGGAAGTTCTAGAGGCCTCAAGAGAAGAGCCCTTCTCATAGCCTGGGCCCACTGATTGTGACTGCAGATTGCGGCAGAGTTCTCAGTGTTAATCCCCATTAAGGCTGCCTGAGGGAAGCTGATCCCCTTAGGGAGCGCTTGGCACCAGAGAAATTCACAATGCCTGAAGCTGGCATCTTGGGCTCCTGTGCCCAGTGCACACCAAGGTGCTAGTCAATTCATGCATTTTATTTGCCCTAACATTAGGTTTGGAGTGTGGGCTTGAGGTTGTAAAAATTCAGGTAGCCCATTCCCATTAAATTCTATGTCAGTGACAGTTCTTCAGGCACCACAAAGTATGATCTAAATGAGATGCCTCTGAACTTGCACAACACTGATCCTTAGGTGTGGGCACAAAGCACATGAAATCTTTTTCTAGAGAAATTGATCCTCATCTCTCCAATCATTGTTCAGCTAATACAGTCCTCTGCTTTTGATGACAGTCCTGCTTTCTGATAGGAACGGGAGTCTGGTGAAAAGGAAAACAGTCCTAGAAGCAGAGCAAGAGTGTGGGATCACTCCTGGATGGTGCTGCTACCTTATTTGGACAGGTCACTTCCTAGATGTGCTCAGTGTGCAGATTCTGTCTCATTGCCTCCTCCAATGTTTCTCTGAATGGAAGCAAATATCTGGGCACCAGGTATGACTTATGTGACCTCAAGCCAGTAACTCAGCCCCTTTAAGCCACCATCTCTCCTGGTTAGAAGTTCTCGGACCATGGGTACGTGGAAAACGTCCCAGAGTGAGAGTGACATACTCTGAGTTCCCTAGTACTGGCTTTGCCATCGATTGTGTGACTCATTCTCTCTGATGTTCAAGCTGTGAGAACCAAATTTGAAATGATGGATGTGCTCTATTACAGTTATTAATAAGAGGAGAAGTTAAACTTTGCAGCCTGTAGGGTTTGCTTCCTCTATAAGCCTGGCTATCTGTACAGAAGCTGAAGGTTGCTTCTTTGGGCTTATGGTCTAGGATCTAGAGCAGAGTGCAGAGACTGTGGTGGAGCCAGGGTGAGCCCTATTCCACCTAAGTTTTCCTCCCCTCTAAGTCTGAATACTGGCAGTGGTGAGTCAGGTGGTTCTACAGGCTCCTTTCACTCTCCCATTCATGAGGACCCCACACCACCTTTACCTCTATGCCACCTTTCCTCTTTCGTTGGATGCGCCACCCCCCTTGTTGTTTTTCTTGCCAGCCACCACTCCACTTAGCTGTTAAACAGCTTTGACCTTGATGACATGGAGATGGATGAGGACAAGGATGAGGACAAGGCCACTTGGCACCTTTCGCCACTTTTGCTTCTGTGACCTGAGGTGTCCAAGAAGAAACCCTGGTGTTAGGAAGACTTCTAAGAAGGTTCCAATGATCCCTGCCTCCTGATAGTCACACCCTTGTGTAAACCCCTCCCTTGGAGTGTAGGCTGGACTTAGTGGTTTGCTTCTGACTCATAGAATAAGGGAAAGGTGATGGGATGTTATTTCCATCATTAGTTTACAAAAGATTGTAACTTGTGTCTTGCTAGCAGAGTCTCCTGGCTTTGATGAAGCAAGCTGCCATGTTGGAGAGGCCCACATGACAAGGAAGTGAGGTGGCCTCCAGCCAACTCCAGCCCACAGCCAGCCAGGAATTGAGGATCTCAGTCCAACAGGCCTTGAGGAACTGCCAGCGTCCTGCCAACAACTATATGAGTGAGCCCGGAAGTGTGTGCTTCCCCAGTTGAGCCTTCAGATGAGACCCCAGCCCCAGCTGATACCTTAATGGCAGCCTTGTGAGAGATCCTGGAGCAGAGAACCCGGGTAGGCCTTGCCTAGATTCCTGGCCCACAAAAACTATGAGTTAATAAGTATTTGTTTTTTAAAGCCACTAAATTTTGGGGGTATTTGTTACATAATAGATAGCTAAGAGACTGCTAAATTACCATAACCTTGGTGTAAGATGTAGCATGGCTGCTAAGGCAGGCACCGAGTAGGAGGACAACCTCACTGACAACATTCCTGGAGATACTGTCTTCATGCTCAAAGACTGTCCCATGTCCTCTTATGCTGCAGTGGTATCCTTCTACTCTACCAAGCCCTGATCAGTCTCCAGGAGGTGCGGCCTAGGTAAGGCAGTGTTGGGTGGAGTAGATGGCCAGGATGGGGTCATGGGGAGTGATGATGAGCTCATTCTTCCCCTCCTCATTTTTGTCTTCCTTTTCCACTCACTCCACCATTAGATTTTCCTTACTCTCTGTCTCCCTTTCCCCCAAATTCTGGGTGGCTGCCTGATGACCGTTCCTACAAATGATGGCCAGGTGATCTGTTGGTCTTGCAATAATGCTGTCAAGCTAGGTATCCTGAGGAGGTTTCCCTGAGGAGTGGCTCTTCCATCCCTCGAGGTGCCCTCACCAGCAGGGAGACCTCATTGTTGAGCTCAAAATGTGCCTTGCGGACAGATTAACACTCCACATATAACAGATTCTTCAGCCAGACCCACCCAGTTTCTAGACCCACCCCTGGCCACCCCAGTGTGCACGATCACAAAACCTATCCATACACACCCCTCTCAGTGACCGCCTACCTGTGAGATACTCTGGAATCAACAACTTTTTCTAACTGAAGGTAAGCCACTCTTTTCAGGAAAATATTCATGTCCCTGCTTCTGTTCAGAGCTGCAAGTTCTGTCTTCCCTACTGTTTCAGTAAGGGCAGAGGAAGGAGACTGCTGAACTGCCAGCCATTTTGATTAGGGTCAGGTGAGGGAGGCACGTGGCCCATCACCCCAGTCTTCATGAGGGAGAGAAGTGCTCTTAGAATCAAGTGGCATTTATTCCTCACCAAGAGATCCACAAGGAAGATTTCTCCCTACCACTCACCTCGGGGCCTAACCACCCCCAATTCCACGACGTCCTGAGGCAACAAGGAGGTGTTCTGGCTGTATCGTTCCAGAGGAACTCACCCCACCCTGCAGCTGTGTATAGTTCAGGATAGTGAGGGAGCAGATGAAAAGAAAGTTTGAGCCAAGTTGTGGACTTGAAGGGTTTTTCCCTCTTTGAAAAGGCCCAAAAGTTTTTAGAGTAGACTTATTATGAAAAAATAAAGTGTTTTAAATATGGCACGGCTGAGGAGGGTCAAATAAAAGACCCCAGGATAAAACTGAGAAGGCCACTGTCAGGCCTCCTACAAGGGACTGGTCATCTTGTAGAAACTGAAAGAGGAAATCAGTCAGAGCTGACCTCTCTCCTTCCTTTCCCAGAGCAGAAGCCCCAGGATACCCTGAACCCACGCCCCCAGTGCACTACACAGAGAACACCACTCTCTGTTAGCGGGAACATTTATTGAGGAGGATCAGTATCCTCGGTTGTGCTAAAGAAAGCTTGCTCTCATCAGAGGGTGTGTTACCATGAAAACTGTGAGGCTTTCTCAACCAAAACTGAATGATTTCTTTGGGGACATTTTTTCTCCCTGGAAGTGTTCGAGAAGCGTTTTCTGTTTGAACAGAAGAGTCAAATCTCTGAATACAGTGCCTTCATGAGGGTTGAGGGTGGCCTGAGGGACCTGGTGTACTTGATGCATGCAGGTGGGGCTTGGATGGGGCCCAGGCTCCCTGGAGGGTGGGGAAGGGGGTTGACTTTGGCATAAATGCTGGTCCTTGAAGGCCACAACTTTCTGGGGATGTCTGATCCTGTCTCTGTTCTGTCTAACACTTTTAAATCAACTCTGATCAGCAGAGACTTGGCTGCAGGACTTGGTACCTGCCCATGCCCCTTGCTGTGGGTCAGAGAGAGCCCCATAGTTGGAGGGATGTGCCTTGTCAGGCTCTACCTGGGCCTGCAGTTCCTCCTTCTGCTGACTGAACTCCGAGGGCTCAGGTTCGTACCTACGTGCCAGTTTCTCCTCTAGGATCTTCCCAATGGCTATCATGAGCTCATGAGCTTCAGGAGGCCCACAACTCTCAAGGAGAGCTGCACTTTCAGCGGGGTCTTGGTGCTGCGCAAAGGTTGATGTGAACTTGGCTTTTTGCTGGGGACTTTCCTGCCCTGTGATTGTTCTCTTGGAAGCAAGCCACTGAAAAAATTGCCTCATTTTTTTTCTGAAGTAACTTTCAGGAGGAAGCTGTTCATTCTGTGACAGAGACGGAGAAGTGCCCTCTAATTCTGTGTCCTCAACAGGGTGTCTCTTCTGCCTGGCTTTAGATGTCCCAGCTCCTGAATCCTCACTTCCACATTCTCCTGCTTTGGAGTGCAGAGGTCTCACTCTCTTTGCAGCTGGTGGGAAATTCATATGCTGGCACTTGCATAAGACACGCTTAGAGACCCAGGGCTGTTGCCAATCTCCATTGTCCTCCAAGTGGACATGCAGCACCTGGGAAGCTCCCGTGTCCCCACTGGAGATGCTCTGGGACTGAGTCAGGGAGTTGGAAGGCAAGCTATCTAAAGTAAAGGACATGTCAGTGTGACAGGCTTGAGCCTGGGTGTTCCCTCTGCTCTTCAGTTGAAACTTCAACTCATTGTGGAGCTGTTTTTTAACGTCTGGTAGTTTACAATCTTGGAGAAGTGGTATTTTTGGTGAGGGACATTCGGTGGTCAGGGTAGTTTCTACTTTACTTGTATTGACACTTACCATTTGGGAGCTTCGTAACTCGCTGGTTGTCAAGATGTCACAGGATTGTGATTTAAGAGCACACAGCTCCTCAGCCTTGAATATCTCCCTGAAGTTCATGGCAGACATGGAAAAATGTTCTAACTTCTTCTCCACCGTCTTTTGGCCCTGAATCGTTTGTACTCTCTCACTGGAGCCCACATTCTCACCGCTTGGCTCATGTCCAGCCCCAGCTTGCCTTGTGGGCACTTCTGGACTGCATCTCTTGTGTAGTACAGTCTTACTCTGATTCACTTCGTCTTTAATGCTGTGTGGGAGGGGCTCTAAAGTCTGTCTGCCATGCTCAGTTGTCTGGACATCCTCGGCAAGCTCACGATCGGTATCAGAGTGGGATGGTTTCAGGGCTCCCCGTCCTTCATTGCCCACAGATGAGGTAGCAGGGAGAGGATGATCCAGGACGGGGACTGAACTTGTTGTTCTCACCTTGTTTCCCTGAAAACTTTGAGAGCTTCCCTCCAGGGGCTTGGAAACCTCAGCTTTGGAATCCACCCCAGAAATACAGGTGGCTGAGGAGAGAAAGTCAAATTGGGGAAGAGGCCGTGTTTTGGCATCTCTTAACTTATAGAATTTTATAGATTCAAGAACTTTGAGGGGTAGGCCCCACCTCTGACTCACACGAAACCTTATAATATGGGCTTCTAGCACCTGTCGGGTATTGGGATCAAGAAAAGAAAGCTCTAGAGTGGTAATCTGGTGGTAGACCCTACCTACTATTGTGTTTTTTGAATCTCTGCTTTTTATATTGGTGTGGGAACTCCCAGGAGGAGCAGATGGCTTGTCATCAGCCAGCCATGAAAGACACACCCCTAGGGGGATCCTCCCCTCAGTGATCTGCCAAAACTTCTTGCTTAGATGTAATGTAAGAATGGTTTTGATTTCATTTTGGTCTATGTCCTTCCTTGAGACATTTAAGAATTCATTCCCTGACTGAATGCTTGAGTGCCACACACAGTTACTTTTTGTCTCTGAGGCAGCCCTCAGACCCTTCACTAGGTAGCATTCGGAGACCCTTTGAGGGCTGTCTTCTGGGCTCTTCTCTAGGATATACCCAAGATTCCTCCTCATGTCCTTCCTTAGCTGAAGGTTTGTTGGGATCCTCCCGTGGAAGCTTCCTGGGAGACTCAATTCAGTCTCTGCTAGATCCTCGCTACTCTGGCCGTGAAGCTCAGAGAGCTGTGAATGAGCGTGTCTGCCTTTCTGCTGAGATGTTTCTGTGAATTTACACTGAGGCTCCCTCAGTGCTAGAAACTCTAGATTCCTACAGGTGTGGAGGCAGCAGTGTGGGATTAGCCTCCTTGGAGCGTGGAGCTCCAGTTTCTCCTGGGGCTCACTGGTAATATGAAAATGGCCAGGAAGGATGGAGACTGGTACATAGGCGTGGGACGACTGGCTGACCGATGAAGGCTTGGGAGCTCGAGGGCAAATGGCTTCTTGAGATTTTTGGAACCCAGGGACTACACCCCGCAAACTTTCCTGTTGCTTCTGCAACACGTGCCACTCTAGATGTTGATTTTCAGTTGAGATATGAGAGTCTGACTCATTCTGGGATCTTTGGAAAGACACTCCACAGTTCCTAATCTGGGATGGAGAGGCAGGTAGGATTGGGAGTGGGGATTGAAGGTGGGCCTGGGGCTGGACCTGCGTGAAAGGTAGGCGCTGAGATTGGGGCAGGGTTTGAGGCAAGGGTTGGGGATGTACGTTGGGGAGGGGAAGAGGGTGGGCATGGGGAAGTGGTGGAAATTCTTGATCCCACATCTTGACTGCAGAAACATTGCAGATTCCATTGAATAAGACAAAAGGAGACTCTAGTGGGGAACTACTACTAGAAACCAGGAGAGTGGCCACTAGGGACTCGCTGTGCAGAGAGGGAAGACCCCAGAAGAGCTGGCTATATTTCTGCTGCAAGTTTTCCTGCAAAGTCTTGACGTACAGTAGCTGCTGACAAATGCGCAGCTGCTCTGGTTTGCCTTTGATGTCCCAGCCACTTTTGGCGTCTGTGGTGTCCTGCAGATCAGATGGCTTCAGTGAATTTCCTGAAGATGTCTGTTGTTTTTGTGACCACATTTGTTTTGAAAATAGTGCCTCCTCCTTTTCTTTCTTCTCGAAAGTGTTGAAATCCGTTCTTCTTTTCATTTGTCTTGCCAAGAGTGCCTGAATGTTAAGGCCAAAGAAAGAATGGGTACTGGCCTCCATGTGCTTGGTAGCAGAGTCTGCCCAGAGACAGGTCTCTGGTAGATGGAGGGAAACATGCTGTCGCTGAAAATCAGCATGCGATAATGTGGGGAAGAACATGTTCTTGGCCTGAGCCTGCCAACAAGAGAATTCTGAAATTGACAGGCTTGAATGGTCAGTGCCTCTGACTGTTGGAACACAAGTGGCCAACCCAGCGGGGCGATCTGGAGATGAGTTCTCTGGAACAGGCTTCAATAAGATGGAAACTGATTTAGATCGAGTCAGAGTTAAAGGGTGGTCTGGGCGTGGTGAGACAGACAGGGTCAGTGGCGCATGATGACAAGCCAGTGAATCAGTGGGATTCATTGTCTGGGACAAATCTGGTAAAGAATTGATATCTTGGCAAAGAGTGGGGTCAAGAGAGAAGATGGTATTCAGAGACAAAGTGTCCTCTGATGGGAGAATAGGATCTGGTGTCTGAGTGTCCTTTGGTGGGAGAGAGGGAAAGGCAAGGGGTAGGGGTGGGGAATGGTCTGCTGAGCATTTGGAATGCAAAGGAGGAAAAGGATCTGGTAGGAGAGAGTGACCTGGTGATGAGGGTGAAAGACAGTCAGCTAAGGGTGTCATTGGGTTAGGTGAGAGAATGGAGGGAGGTGGTGGGGAAGGCTCAGGCAGAGGGGCTGGTATTCGGTCTCCTGGAGCGCCTTCTGAGAAGGCAGAGGACAGAGTGAAGCATGACTCAGTTGCAGAAGCTGTGGAAGCCAGAGAGGACACAGAGGGAGTATCATCTTCCAGGTCCTCCAGGAACAGCAGCCGATTGACCTCAGCAGTTGCGCTATTACACACTTCACAGAAGGGGTCTGGACATAAGAGTTGGCGAACGCGGATGGTGTCATGATGCTGGCCCAGGGGGCTGTAGGAGACAGGAGGTACAAAGCTGTAGCCAGGACCGGAACAAACATTTGGGACCCTGCATGTATGGCAGAAGTAGGGCCACCCAATACATACTGTCCTTTCACATTGCCCCACTGTCTTGAGCTCACAATCTGCCTTGTTTCCTTCTCCCCAAGACTTTCACATTCTGACTTTGAGGACTTCCGCTCCCATGTCAATCCCAGGCTTCACCGAGGCCCTAGAAATTTATAGACTCTGCTAAAAAGAGGAATACAGGAAAGAAGGGTAATGTTTAGTCACCTTTGGAGAAGAGAAAGCACCTTTCTTGCATCCTCTGCTTCACTCTGGCAAGTTCTCCAACCTGGGAAACAAGGAAAGTGACAAAGATAGAAGCAAAGAGATCTTTTAGGAGTCTGAGTAGAATGTCCTTTAGTGGTACCTTTGGTAGATGGATCTGGAGAGCCCCAAGAATTAGGATTCAAGATCATGTGGCTAATGAGAGTAATAACAGTGCTTACATACTTGTCTTCCTTTATCATTCACAAAGGGCTTTTCTATATATTATCCCATGTGATGTTAAAGTCCACCCTGTGAGGAATGTAGGTCAGTGGTTACCTCAAAGAGGAGTCTGATCATCCAGGAAGTCAAAGTACTTGCATAAGGTCAGGAGACAGAAGTACTGACTCTTGACATCTCCCATGGCCACCTATTGGGCAACACCCATTGCCCAGGTCCATCACTGCTTCTGGCCCAGGGGTGGGCAGAGCAGGAATCTGAGAAGTGTCTTAGGTTCTGACTGCCTTCTCATGAGCCTCTCCCCTGAGGGCTGTTTCCTGAGAGGGACTGTGTTTGGTGACTAACACCCTCAGAGATCATAGACCTGGGAGCTCATGGAAAGGACAGGATGAGTCACCGTTGGAGAGCTCAGGTGGAGTAGGCAGAGCCTTACCTCTCGATGTTCCCCCTTTCCTTCTCCTCTTGGCTCTGCCCTGACGCTGAGAACAAAAAGAAAAGAATGAGGGGCTGGGCCTCATTTCTCTCGCTCCTCTCTCTAGGAAACTCAGGTATCCATTATCTGAGAATAATATGACTCTCTCTTTTAATTACTAGAACTTTATGTTCCTTCCTTTCATTAATTTTTAAAGGTGATAAGATACTTTCAATTTTTTCTTCTTTGAAAAACTCTCAGTGTTATTTTTGTCTAGGAGGTACACACTTGATATTCTCAGTCAGAAGTTCTCTGCTCAAGGAAGTCATAGAATCTGAGGCCAACAGTCACATCCGTGCTTCCTCAGATAGGACTCGGTATCCTGGAAGAGAGCTCAGGCTCTGGTCTCTGCTCAGAGGCTCAGCCCTGCTCTCCTGATCTGCCCAATACAAAGGAAGCCTTGGTCGAGTGATGCCTGATGTGGGAATATGACTCATGATCAAGTGCTGGGAACAGGGAGAGTTGTTTAGAGAGACCCCAAACTCTCTAAATAACCCAGTCAAGGACTACAGAATCACCATGTTTGTGATTTTATTTGGGAACCTGCTGCCACACCCAGACAGTCTGTGAGATTCAAATGGAAACTTTAGACCTCCCTGAACCCCTAGTTCTGCCCAGTCTCTTCCCCTAAAACAGTGATGTTCTCTCCCCTCTTTAGAGTTCCCATTTTAATTGTCTCTCTGACCCAACCAAACTCATTTAGAAATTTGAGAAGAGGAACAGGAAAATAAAGAATCATCCTTTGATGGGCAACTTCTGGTTCCAGCTCCATCATTTAAAGAGCTTGGGAGTCGTTAGTCCAGTCTTAGAAGAAGCAAAAAGCTGAACAAACTGAAAATCAGTGACTTTTCTTGGAGTCATCAGAGACTTTGAGGTCGCAGGGCAAACCACTACCCAAAATCTTCAGAGAGGGTGACGGCAGAGAATCATAGTCAGTATCAGCTTACCTGGAGCAGAAGCCCCTGGAGCCGGAAACTGGTAGAAACACATGGAGGGACACTTGGACAAACTGCTGGAGGATGCATGTGGACTAGCATGAGAGTGAGAAACTCCAGGAGTTGCTGTCTTAGGGGACCCCACCCATTCATAAGTTTTACCTCCAGGAACCCCACCAGGTTCTGACAGTGAAGAGCCATGCAGAAACTCTGATGTTTCTAGTGGGGGAGGGTGGGGAGGGAGAATGTAACCATTTTGAAAACATTGAAATATCCCAAGTGTTCTCCATTACGGAAGCCTACTGAGCCATGGAAAAGACTACCAAGCCTTATCTCACATGGGCAAAGGGAAACTACCCAGCTACAATGCCTCTAGCCTTCCTGTCTCATCTAAAGAGTGAAAAGAAAAGGAAAAAAAAGCTTGGAAACACTTGTGAACATCATGCCCAAGGACACAGGATTCCTAAAAGACTGAGATTTAATCATATCCCCTCCCCCAACACCTTACCACCACATCCACAGGGCTGCAGTCAAGTCATGGGATCATAGCAGAAGGAGCTGCAAGGCATAGGCTCTATTTAAGGAGGAGATTGAGGGAAACGTAAAGACACCAGGGGAGACAACAACAAGGACACTAGAGGAAATTGAAGCCTCTGACATCTACAGCTACAGTAAATATTAAACACAGCCCAGCACCTAGCCAGATTAACATACAACTCCACACTAAAGGTTTATTTACTTTAGTTCTTATTACCCAATACATCATGTCTGGCTTTCAACAGAAAATTACAAGGCATGCTAAAAGGCAAGAAAAAGCAGTCTAAATACACAAATCAAGCATCAAATCCACATTCAGATGCGACACAGATTTTGGAATTATCATACATAAAATCCAAAATAACGATGATTAGTATGTTAACGGCTCTAATGGAAAAAGTAGGCAGCACACAAGAACAGATTAGGAATGTAAGCAGATGGAGGGAAACTCTAAGAAAGGATCCTAAGGAAATGTTAGAAACCAAAAACACTGTAAGAGAAATGAAGAATGCCTTTGATTGGTTCATCTGTAGATTGTATATGGCCAAGGAAAGAATATGTAAGTTTGAATGTATGTCAATAGAAACTTTGCAAACTGAAATGTGAAGAGAAAAAGAGTTAAAAAAAAAAAAATTTAAAGCCCAGAATATCCAGGAACTTCAAGAGAGTTTCAAAATGTATAAGATATGTGTAATTGGAGTACCAGAAGGAGAAAAAAGAGAGAAGAGAGGGGAAGAAATATTTGAAGTAATAATGGCCAAGGATTGTCATTAATTAATGACAAATTAACCATGGATTGTACAAGCTCAGAAAAGAACCCAGCCTGGTAAATACTAAAAAAAGTCTATACCTGGACATATCATATTCAAACTGTAGGAAACCAAAAGATAAATCTTGAAAGAACCCCGAAGAAAATAATCACCCTACATCTCAAGGAACAAGTATAATTGTTATGGGCTTCTCATCATAAACCATGCAAGCAAGAAGAGAGTGGAGTGAAATATTTGAAGTATTGGTAGAAAATAAATCACCAACCTAGAATTTTTTTATCTAGTGAAATTATCCTTCAAAAGTGAAGGAAAAATGAAAACTTTCTGAGACAAAAAGTAAGGGAATTCAGCAGCAGCAGTCCTGCCCTGCAATAAATATTTTTAAAAAGTTCTTGAGGGAGAAAGAAAATGATCACTTGGATCTACATTAAAAAAGGGAAGAGAAGGAATAAATTAAGGTAAAATAAAACTTTTATTTTTGTTATTCTCAATTGACCTAACAATGATAATGTATTGGGTGATGATAGTGTATGGATAAGTGAAATGAATGACAACAATGTTACAGGGGACTTAAATCAGTTGTAAATGTATATTGCTAAGTCCAGGGCAACCACTAAAATATTTTTTAAAGAACAATTGATAGGCTAGGAGACAAGAGAAAATGGAATCATAGAAAATGCTTGTTTAAAACCAGAAAAGGCAGAAAAAGTGGGGAAGTAAAAAGAATAGGTCTAATGAATAGTAAACAGTTACAGACATTGTAGATATTAATCCAACTATATAACAAAAATCCCTAAATGTAGATGGTTCGAATTCACCAATTAAACGACAGAGACTGTGAGAGTGGATAACAAAACAAGACCCAATTAGATGTTGTCTACAAAACACACACTTAAAAACTAAAGATATATTGGGGCCGGCCCTGTGGCTTAGCGGTTGTGTTTGCACACTCTGTTTCGGTTGCCCAGGGTTCACTGGTTCAGATCTGGTGGACCTATGCACTGCTCATCAAGGCATGCTGAGGTGGTGTCCCACATAGAGCAACTAGAAGGAAGTACAACTATGACATACAACTATCTACTGGAGCTTTGTGGAGGAAAAAAATAGGAAAAAAAAAAGATACAAATTGAGTAAAAATAAAGAGACAGAGGAAAATGTACCATGCTAACACTAGCCAAAAGAAAACAGCACTAACTATATTAATTTCAAAGCGGACTTCGGGACAAGGAAAATTATCGGGGATAAAGAGGGGCATTAATGAGACACACAACCCTCAACATGTATACATCTAACAACAGAGGGTCAAAATATGTGAGGCAAAAACTGGTAGAACTACAGGGAAATAGATGAATCCATTGTTATTGTTGTATATTTAAACCCCTCTATGAGAAATGGACTGTTTGTACAGTTGGAAAATCAATGTGGATATAGTTGACCTGAACAGCACCATCAATCAACTTGATCTAATTGACATTTATAGACTACTTCATTCAACAGCAGAATACACATGTGCTGGGCCACAAAACACACTTTCACAAATATAAAATAGAGATCATACAAAGTGTGTTTTCAGACCATAATGGAATTAAACTAGAAATCAATTAGAGAAGGATATCTAGAAATCCCAAAATGTTTGGAGATTAAACAACACACTACTAAACACATTGGTCAAGGAAGCAGTCTCAAGATAAAAAAAATATTTTAAATAAAAATTAAAATACAACTTATTAAAATTTATGAGGTGCAGCAAAAGCAGTACTTAGAGGGAAATTGATAGCATGGAATGCATCTATTTGCAAAGAAAGATTTAATATTTCTGAGGGACTCTGATTTACTTACCTGATTGATGTCTCTCTCTTTCCAAAATATTGGGAAATGTGGATTCCTCTTTAGGTAGCACAGTGACAGAAGAAGGACCCCCACCCCACATAGAAAGGGAAAGATGGGAAT